AGGAAGATGGGCACAGATGTTAGCCCAGGGCCAGTCTTCCTCAGCAAAAAAGAGGAGGATGGGCATTGGATGTTAGCTCAGGGCTGGTCCTCCTCACAAAAAAAAAACAAAACGAAACGAAAAAACAACCATATGAGAGTACTCGTGAATCATAAATGAAGTACCAAATTCCCTTAGGTATAAAGGAAAGGGACTTTCCTAAGTGGAGGTGGGGGAAAAATGTAAGCAGAGATAATAACATGAGGAAAGGAGTGAGGCAGGAATGTGCATAGCAGGTTTATGGAATTAGAAAAAGGATTTCTGTAGATTACCCTGAAACCCTCACAAGAGTACACAGGATAGAAGCTTAAAAGTACAGGGCTGTTTGATACTGTGTTGGTAAATACCTATCCATTTCCAGCTTATACTGGAGTGACATAAACCATATGGGGCAAATTGGAAGAGCTTTCCAAAACAGCTGAATTTAAAGATCAACCCAAAGGGGAGAGGTGACTCGCAAAAGTTCTGAGAAGTAAGCAGATGATTCCATGCCCTTGAGTATCTCTGAGGGAGTTAAGGACTGATGGGAGGGTATTCCATGGGGAGAAATGAGCAAGGTGGTAATGGAGCTCTGGAGAGCAGCATCTGATCCTTTTCAGGAGGGCCTGAGGCAGTGGCAGGAGGACCAGGAGAGGAAGGTGCGCGCCCTCTCGGAGATGGCATCTGAACAACTGAAGCGGTTTGATGAACGGAAGGAACTGAAGCATCATAAAGAATTCCAGGACTTACGGGAAGTGATGGAGAAGAGGTGAGTCTCCCTGAATTCTGACTGGAAATGTCGGTGTGGTCAGTTGGAACTCTTTCCCACCAGGAAACCCAAAGGGAAAGAGGTGAACTTCTGATGAGTCCTTAAATATCAAAATAAGATAGCCAGAGAAGCTTACAACCTAGGAGAATGACCAACCTTGGAAAGATGACCAGTGTATCACGAAGAGAGGGAGGCTTTCAGGAGAGGTCAAACAGTTGTAGGGAGCATCCCTGACTATTCCTCCCTGTCATTTTTCATTCAGCTCCAGAGAAGCCCTGGGGCAGCAAGAGAAACTAAAAGCTGAGCATCGTCACAGAGCAAAGGTCAGAGCCTGGGCGAATCCGTGTGTGTGTTTCAGTGTCTGGCTGTAACCTGCCCGAAGAGTCAGGTTCTGCAGTCACGGCGGGCCTGGCCCATGTCATGCCTGTGTGACTTTGGGCAGTCCTTTTTCTGCCCTGGGCCCCTCTGTGAAAAGATGTAACCACACAGGGCTTGATGAATGTAGAATGAGAAGGCCCAGGAGCCCCTCGGAGAGAGAAGACTTGACAGCTCTTTCTATAGATCCTCAACCTGAAGCTGCGGGAGGCAGAGCAGCAGCGCCTGAAGCAGGTGGAGCAGGAGCGGCTCCGCAGGGAGGAGGGCCAGGCGCGCCTGCGGAGCCTCTATGCCCTGCAGGAGGAGCTGCTGCACCTCAACCAGCAGCTGGACGCGGACCAGCACAAAGACCTGCTCAAGGTCGACCTGTCGGCCTTCCAGACCCGAGGCAATCAGCTGTGCGGCCTCATCTCGGGGATCATTCGGGCCACTTCTGAGGTGAGGGGGCTTCCGGGGGGACTCCATCTTTGAAATGGAGAATCTTAAGAGCAAAGTTGTCTTCTGATTAAAGATAATGCCTACTTATTATCGCTTGTCATCTCCATGCCTAGAGATAACCACTGTTAACATTTTACATTTCTTTTCTCACAAGATGTGTGTGTGTGCGTGCATGCACATGTGTGTGTGTTATCCTCACCCAAAATTGGACTCATAGAGATACAGTTTCTTACCTTAGGTTAAAAAAATATTTGTTTCTTCTGATTGCAAAATACCTGAGTTCGTTCAGTAATATATACTGAATGCCTACTACACTTGTGGTAAAAATTAAAACCTTACAGAAAAGTATATTGCTTTTTTCAGTTAACGTTGCATTTTGAACACATAATTACTATAATCGTTAAAAATATTTTGATGTTTTTAAGGCAGTGTGAAAAACTGCAGGTATTGCCTTGACACATAGTAGGTATTTAATTAAATATTTGATGAACAGATGAAATTGGGTACTTCCAGCATGTAACCATACCAAACTTGATTGGAAAAAAAAACGTGCCTATTATGGAACATTTAAGTTTCTGTATTTTCGCTACCATAACACTGTAGTGATATCATTATATACATATCTTATGTGTATTTATGATTATTTCTTTGAGATAAATTCCCAGAAATGGAATTACTTGGTCAAAGAATTTTAAGGTTCTTGATTCACATCCAAAGTTGTACCAGTTGACACTTTCATTAATTGTTTATTCTTGCCCTTAGTTCGTATTTCTACTAGAGTCTGTTTTAAAAAATCAATTTATGTGAGTTCTATATATCAAAAACTTTTGGCATTTATCATATTTGAAGCAAAAGTTTATTTTTATAGTTTATTGTTCCCTTTGAATTCTCTTTATGGCTTTTGTTGATTTCTTTTTGTAAAATTTTAAACTTTTACAGAAGTAGAGAGAACAGCTAATGTACCTTTGGGCACCCGTTCCCCTGCTTCAGCAAGAATGAACAGCTCCCGGTCTTGTTTCATCTCTACCTCCACCCGCACCTCCCTCCCAGATGGTTTTACAGTAAATCTCAGACATATTCCTTCATCTGGAAAATACTTTAGTGTGTATCTCGAAAAGATAAAACTCTTAATATAGCCAAAATACTAATATCACATCTAAAAAACTAATAATCTATTTAATATGGCCAACTATCTAGTCAGTGTTCAAATTTCTCCAAGTGTCTCAAAATTGTTTTTAACAATTGGTTGGAAAATTAACATCCATGCAAGGTTCAATCTTTGAATTTGCTCTGTCTCTTACTTGACAGTCTTTTAATCTCAATGGTCTACCTCCCTTATCTCTTTTTTCTTGCCATTTAATTATTGAAGAATCTGGATCATTTCTTCTATAAAATTTCCTACATTCTGGAAAATTCCAGAACGCAATTGCTCACCCTACCCCTGTGATGTATTTTTACATTTTCTTTTATTCCCTGTAGTTCCCATGAACTGTTAACTTTATCTAGGGCAGCGTTGTCCAGCAGAATTTTCTGTACTGATGGAAATGTTCCATATCTGTGCTATGCAATACCATAGCCACTAGCCACATGTGGCTGTAGAGCACTTGAAATGTGGCTATTGTGGGCCGGCCCCGTGGCTTAGCGGTTAAGTGCGCTTGCTCTGCTGCTGGCGGCGCGGGTTCGGATCCCGGGCGTGCACCGAGGAACCGCTTCTCTGGCCACGCTGAGGCCATGTCCCACATACAGCAACTAGAAGGATGTGCAGCTGTGACATACAACTATCTACTGGGGCTTTGGGGGGGAAATAAATAAATAAGTAAAATTAAAAAAAAAAAAAGAAATGTGGCTATTGTGACTGAAGAACTGAATTTTAATTAAAAGCATTTTTTTAGTGAATTTAAGTGTAAATAGCAACATGTGGCTGCCTTACTGGCAGCACAGACCTAGAGACTTGACCAGATTCAGATTTGATTTTTTTTTTTCGTTTGCACAACAGTACTTCACACTTGGTCGTATATACTTGTTATTCCATCACATTGGGAGGCGTATAGTATCTGATTCTTCTTCCACTTGTGATGTTAAGATCGACCAGTGGCTTCAGATATGGTCAGCCTTATCTTCCATTTTAAAGATCTCTATGAGCCTATGTAATTCTACTACATTGATTAATTAATCCCTGTGTAATTCTACTACAAAGAAGAAATTTTCCCTATAAACTGTTTATCTTGAGGTACAGTCTGAATAGGAAAGGAAAGATAAATGTTTGATTCTTTCCTTTTATCAATTTTCAGAATGAGTTGCTTTTCTAGCATTCTCCCACAGTGATTTATGAGGGTTTTTTCCTTATTTTGTTAGCTATCATTAAGAATTTATGAATTTTTATGTATTTGATGTGTAGTATATTTCACTCTGTTGCAGTTTTGTTGTTGTTTAAATGGTCTCATCTTTGACCTGTGGGAGCACCTTCAGGTTGGTTCCTCCATCCTTTTGGCATGGCCCCAGTAGTGTTTGTTGCAGCAGAAAGCACGTAAGCTAAGATGCTCCTACCTCATGTTGAACATTTTCTTCTCCAGACGTAGAATCAGGCATTGCTTCAAGGAACTTGATTACTTGTTAGTGGGAAAAGGTATTTTAGAAAACACAGTCTGGTTACTATGGTTTATCATTGTTTCTAGGCCTTTTCAATAGATAGCACTAGGACTTTTTGTGTGTGTGTATGAAAATACATCATTAATTCATTCGGATCTTTTCCATTCAAATATAAGATTATAGCATTTATTTAACTTCTTTAATTTTATATATGTGTCATTGTTATCCCATTCTGAAAATCTGTTTCTTTCTTTCTTTTTTTTTTTT